ACCGACCGGTCGAGAGTGTCAGAGATTTAACCTCTTGTCGGGTCGTTAACACCTTTTAGAGACGTTAAGGTCAAATGTGAACCGTCGACCAACCTGCGAGTATTAACATGTCACGTGAGTCGTGTGTGAGCGGACGCCTGAGGAGTGACGTCGAACATCCTGCTCAGATCTGGTGTTAACGTCCACGTCAGGTGATCTGGACACAAGCCGACAAGAACCGGTGTGAAGATGAATTTGGGCTCCGATCGTTCGAACCAGATATTCGGAGATGGTCTGAAAATGCGTCCGTGCGTCTTTGCAAAACAGAAATTCTCTACTTGTTTTGTTTTTCTGCGTAGAGCAGAGAGGGAAAGTGAGATCCAATCCCAGGTCATGAAACACACGTGAAGACACATTCTAACTTTCAGAGCTGCTCTGTTGCGTCCTGACCAGCAGAGACAGCGGATGATATTGAACTGGACCTGAGACTCTGACGTTTGGTGTCATGGACGATCTTTACGGTTGCAACTAGAAGGAAATATAAAGCAGAACATGCTTTTTATAAATGTGCTTTTAATGAAACCACCATAAAGTTGCCTCTGCGTTTCCCAGCTGATGATCCAACCGCGGTCGAGACAACGATATCTCAACAGGTACACGAACGGACTGTCGTGACATTTACTGTGGAGATTACTGGCCCCCAGAGATTTTACTCATTTCATTTTAATTACCCCGTGACCTTTTCTCTATTGTCACCTTCAGAACAAACTTTGTGTTTGAGTCCACGTCATGAGGTCACGACAGGGACAGACACGATTCATATCTTGGGCTGTGATCAATATTTAAGCTTCCTGGGTTTGCTGCGGGAGCTTTACGGCCTAAGTGCGTTTAGGGCAGGTCAAAATCCACCGGCGCTGGTTTAGCGGCGGAGGAAAAGGGTCACTGTGCTCATGGTTCGGCGTCTGAGATATTTGTACTGTTCCGCTTTCAGGTTTGTTGCGTGTTGACGCGTGGACTTTTTCCTGCCGTCTTTCATCGGTGCGTTCAGACCAATGTGACCGATCTCGCATTAGCTTTAAAATCCACGATGCACCTGCACAGGTTGCTGCTGTAAAGGGATTTGCTACGTAGTTGGATTCTCAGCTTCTCTAACGAGGAAACTGATCTTGTGCACAAAGTGAAAGTGCACAGGCGGGATGTCGGCCTGTTCCAATTCCTCTCTCTTGGCCCGACACCTTAAATATGAAGAGCCCCATGCCGGGGGGTGTCCCCCCCTCTGACAGAGCCACGAGGGAGACACTGGAAAATCTTCCCCTTGAAATCGGGACAACATTCGCTCCATCGTCAGCCGCCAATCGGTTATTTCAACGTTGGCCGTTGGTTACATCATGAGCGAGGACGTTTTCTTCAAACTTCATATATTAATCTAGAAACAGGAACATTACTGTCACTCAGATGCTCGTTTTAACGACGGGAATAAGGATTTTCCTGTCGAGCTTGTCACAGAGATTCAATCATTTGTTTTTATTTGGTTATTTGAGATATTTCTTGCGTATATTATGAGTATTTTATCTGCTGTGGTCGCCATCTTGACTGCTTTGTCTGTTTGTAAATCATTCAGGAGTGTTTTTTATTTTAGGGGGATCCGGAGTAACGCTCGCCGAAGGGGGGGGGCAGTTGTCGGGCTACGGGGTGAATTGGGGCAGGTAGCCATATATAAGTTTATTGTTTAAAGCTCCCTTGAAATAACACGCTGACTTCAGATCAGGTTGTTGCTGGTGAACTGTTTATTCTGTGGATGTGTTTGTTCATCCTCTTCAGTCTGTGAACACCTCTGAGTGAATCCCTGCGGTTTCTGCTGTCGAGCGATCGGTTAACTGCTGCGTCACACGATTCCTGGAAGCTGACGGCTTTACTGTTCTGGGTGAGATATTCTCACACACACACACACACACATACTTCAGATGCTGAAGAGCCTCTTAACCCCCCCCCACTGTGTCATTAGCTCGACTGGTGCATGTCAGTCAGGACAACATGCCGCTCCTTCTTCTCATTCATGAAAAGTGTTTTTGCGAGACTTTGTTGTCTGACAGGAGGAATCCCCTGAAATGTGTAAATCAATGTGTTAGTGTCTCTTCCTCTTCCAAGAAAATGTCTTTATAATGTTTGGAGGTGAGAGAATGTGTGTGAGTGTGTGTGTGTGTTAAAAACATCATGGGTCCTGTAACATGTCCTCGTTTTCATGGTTGAGTGGATCAGTCCATCAGTTGTGAAAACCTCTGACCCGTCAGCTTCTTTGTTGAGTTCTGAGGATTCCTGGTCTCAGACAGACGGAGCCTCTGAGCAGAATCCACATCGAGCGCTTCACATATATCAACAGGGAGGTTGGTTTCTAACCAGTGAAGTTTAATCCAGTGCTTTGTGAGAAGAACAATACCCACTGTGTCTAAACGCACCCAGAAAACTACAGTAAGCGGGTCAGAGGTGAAGCAGGAAGCAGCCTCAGAGTCGGAGGTGTTGAGAAAGTCTCTCTGATGAAGTTACACAGGGTTTCCACAGCACAGTGTTACACAGTGTTCAGCCACATACCGGTTACATAACTTTCAAACTGGCCCCACTCTCCGTGTGGGTTTGTATCATCATGAAACCTATTTGAAGCTGCTTGTTAAATGAAATGCTTGTTGTCAGTACTCGGCCTGATGCTGCAGAAAGTATCTCTGCAGATCAGAGTCAGATAACAAAGTCACGGAGGAGATGTCATGGATGTTCTGACGGTCCATTCACAGAGGGTCATGGTGAGAGAGGAAGCGAGACAATGGAAGTCTGCAGACACATAATGAAACTCTCTAATGGATCATATGGAACTGCCTCCAAATATACACGACTGTGAAACTAATAAGACTAAGACGGGCGGCCACAGTTTAGTAATTAATGGGAAAGAGTTGCAGTGAGGCTCCCCCGGAAACTTCTAACCTCAGAGTAAATTCTTCAGCTACAGACACATGTCTTTTCTTGTAAATCGTCAAACTGTAAGTAGACCTTGTCACGAGTTTATTACCTGGTGGGAAAATAGCTTCTGGTATATGTTAAATTCACTGCAGCAGTGCAACATCCAGGTTTAATGAAAGCCGCCATGAGTTCACCTCCTTCACTGAAGAAACTATTTAGAAGAGACAACTCCTGAAAATCCCAGATTCACGATTTTTGCATTAATTTGAAATCATCTTTAAGAACATTTTACAACAACAACAAAATGTGATTTGATATCAGATCAGCCAACAAAAGGCCCAGAGGACGTTTAAAATGAAGGATGTGAAGATCTATTTCATTTACCACTCAATGCATGATGGGAAAATGGACAGTTAGCCGATATTAAACTAATCAATCACAGTTGCAGCCAGTGAGACTTGGTGGTTTGAGACACTGACAGTGATACTGAAATGTCTGTCTCTTCAATAGGACTTCGACATGTGCACTCACATTTTTAGTTATATAACAAAACATTAGCCTAGCAGATCCTTCAGGATGGTCCCGACACTGTTCCCTAGTTTGTCTCAGTCGTTTACAGATTATTAAACGGCACAAAATATTGTAAAAAAAAAAAAAGGACGCCGCAGGAAATTTACATTCAATCTCTAAACTCAACATTTTTTGAACGGTGTCAAGTTTGATGTGAAGGAAGGATTGATTTTCTTACAAGCCATGAACTTTGTCGCAAGAGCAGCTGGACAAACATTTGATGAGAGGTTTCGAGACATCAGTAAAGTGAACAAAGGAATATTTGCCATTATCGTTAAATGTGGAAGCAGCTGATCGTTCTGCTAATTGCAAAACAACGACAATCAATCTACAGAACATACAACAACTGTCTGATTGTTTGTCCTGAGCGTCTTCCTGTCCGCAGAAGATTAAATGCTGCTGTGAGCGGTTCTCTTCAAAACTAACTGTGACAAATTTCAAACCTGGGGTAGCATGGCCATCACTACCACGTGACATCAGACGCCTCTCCTTTATTATTTACGACTGGCCCGCAAAGAATGTTAAAAAATAAAGGAATTGCTTTCCACCACTGCTTCAAACCGTCTAATCAAATATCCACTCACGTCTTAAATGAATGAATCCAGAGACAAAATGTTCCCCAACGAAATACAAGCTAAGTGGCAATAAAACATCCTGTAGCTTCTGCCCCCGAAATAATATAATAAACAACCGGAAAAACAGACATGTGATGATGAGAGGCACAGAAAAAATGTCCCTGCAGGGCCGGTCGAGTGTTCGATCACACAAAGGAGCATCTGTGGCTGAGTGTTCAGGGGTCTGCAGGGGATTAACTGCAGCTCAATAGGACAGTGTGTTTTGTTTATGTCTGTGTACAATATTGGCGGCGTGACAATAGCCGCAGTGTAACTGAATGACTGTACCATAAGTGGGGCAGGCCGGTGACTCAGTGGGCAGAGGCTGCCCGCTCTGAGCCGGTGGCGGTCCAACCCTCGCCGCTGGCTTCTGTCCCGTGTCAGCTGCTGTATCCCTTCAGAACCAGAGCATGAAATGTCACGAGAGGGATTCTCAAAAGGTTTAGAGAGTCGCACCACGAGGAAATTTAAATGTCACAGCAAGTCTTCAAGAAGGTTGTGGGAACATTGTGTTATTTATTCGGACTCGATCGTAATCATCCGTTGTCGTGAACAAACTCATAGTCGCGATGGACGACGTCACTTGCGTCCACGGATTAAAGAGTCAGTGTTCGACTTAATGTCCTCGATTAGCTCGGACGTAGGTGTGCTGAGGAAATTAGCGCAAAGAGGAAAGCGTGGGACGTCCATGCTTTGAGCAGCTGTGATCCAACAACAGCGTCTCACATGAACTTGAGCAGATTCATGGAAACGTTTCTAGTACTCACCCTCGACATCATCAGGGATCAAATTATTCTCCCTGCGATCGTGTTCCCGAGTTGTGAAGTCTTCGCTCCGTACAGCGGCTCTGTTACTCAGACACTCCTGCGTAGATCCTGTTTCATCGTCTCAACTGGAACTGGAACGACGTGTCCTGAGCTCCTGGTAGTATTTTCTGACGGCCTGGTAAGGTCGCAACACCTCTGTGTAACTCGGCAGAGAGCAAACACAAATGATTTATTAGGATGAGTTTTAATATTTTGTTTTGCTTTTGTTTGAAAGGAAGTGAAAAATCATTCAGAGCAAAATGAGGCGTGTGTTGTTTTTTTTTTTATCAACTCGATCTTAGATCACATTCAGACAACTGCAACACGGCAGCATGAGGTCATCGTGACCACGACCTTTGACCTCCAAGCACCTAAATCAAGAGAATGAATCCTTGAGTCCAAGTGAATGTTTGTGTCAAAGGTCAAAGGGTTCCTCGATGGCGTTTCAGAGATATCACCTTCACACGACCAACCATAACTCAAGTTCTTCCTTGAGCACGAGTGAATATTTGAATATAACCAGAACCACAACGTGGTGGAGTCACGTGACTCTAAAGAATCTTTTCTCGTTTATCTGCTCATTTTTCCCGTCAACTGCTCTTCACACCCCTCCACTGACATGAAATGGGGGGTTTTTTTCAGCATGTTCTCACAGACACAGACGAACAACAGTCTGCATGCAACACGTTCTTAAGACTTGCGACATGAATCGTCCAGAACATCCTATACTTGCTATTTTAGAAAGAGGAAGTGAGAGCGGGCCGTTGGGGTGATGGAGGCCTCTTCCTCTTTCTCCTGTTCATCCTGTTGCAGAGTCATGAATGAGCAGGTTTTCGGCAAAGTGAATGGAGAAGTGGTGTGTGTGTGTGTGTGTGTG